GAACTGATTCCCAAGCTACTCTCTATGCTGTCAACGATCTGATGAGTCACACGCTCAACGTACTCGGGTACGCTCTCGAATGACTGATAATCAAACCACGGGGAAAGCTGTAAATCTACGATGCCGGTCTCTGGATCTAGCACAATTCCGTCATCAGCATCAGGATCAGCCATACACCAACGGTAAACAAAATCGGACTTTAACGATGCTTCAGCTGTCTAACAATACGAATGAACCAAAACAGATCTGAACCAACTTGGTCCGGTTCGGATCTCACCCAAAATAAACCAATCAAACAAATAGGGTCTGAATAAAGGAGTTCACCGATCTCAGTATACTCCTCTTCTTTTGTTCTGAGAAAATAGAAGAAGGTGCAGCAGAGGGAGAGGAACAGGCGGCGGCGGCGGCGCGGATGAGGGCGGCGGCGGCCTGGGCGGACGGCGACTGGTAGTGCGGTGGCGGGGCGTGCGTTTGGTTGATGTCGAGGAACGGCGACTGCTGGTCGGTCGGTCGGCCGTTTGGGGGTGCGGAGGCGTTGTGCGTCGAGGATGGCGGATGAGGTCTTGGTGGGGTTTGGATTGAAGAGGGGAAGGAGGGGTGCTGGTAAAATTTCGTGGGTTTGAAGGAATGGGTTGGGAGTGTTGCAAGACTGATGAACAGTGGCAATTTTTCTTGTAGCTTTTTTTTTCTTTAATTATCTGCCAGGAAGAAAACGAGATTACTGCTAGGGTTCCAACACCCACAATCAAGCACGATAATTTTCGTTTTATTCTTCAAATGCCTTCTTCTGATTACAGCAATTTCCTTTTAAAGAGAAAGATTCTAGTTTTGGAAATCTCAACAGAATTCTCTCTCAAAATATCAGAAACATCTAAAACGTAACTACTTGCCAAAATCTAAACCATAATTTGAAATTCAAAATCAAATTCGAAATTCAAAATGCAAAGCAAAAAATAGAATCCTAATCAATAATCTCAGGCTACTAAATCTGTCAATCAATCAGAACAGGTGAGAAAAAAATTTAGGAATCTGGTGCACAGCTGGCGCGCGACGTCCTCCTACGTTGGTAGAGACGACGGCTGAAAATCCCGTTATGCTTCCTGGATGTCCGCATTATTCGTTTCTTCGAGCTCATCCCGAAGTAAAAGTGTAAGTTTTGATAGGTATGGCAATGTAGCTGAGCTAACTGGTGGATTCTGGAACTTGGATCGTCCATTCATTTGGATGGTTTTCTGAATATAGATGAATATTTTCTGCTTCTTTAGTTAGCATGTCAAGCGAACATGTCTTAGATATTTTGCAGGTGGAAAAGTATATATGATCATTTCATAATCCTATACTTCCACGCATGGTTCGTGTACTTACTAACAATGCAGGTTCGACGTTATAGGCTTCGAATCCCCTTCAGCACAGCAGGTCGTTTGATCGACGATCACAGGACATGCTTTGGATCCGTAATATCTGTATCAAGCGGTGAATGTGGCTACGAAGATGGTGGAGGTACCGCAGAATGCGAGACGCAAGGCATCCGATCGGATGCTTGGAATTGAAGATAAATTAAAAGAATTGGGACTTAGCTAGATAGATATTAAAGAATATGATTGTATTTTTTATATCTTAGCTTAAAATTTTCAAGAATTATTGGAAATAAATGTGCTCAAATGATAGTGATATATAGGTGAGTATGGTTGGCCAACCTTAGTTGGGATTTACTTATTAATTGTGATGCGATTTAATTCCAAAATAAATTTGTATCTTGTAATTTATAGAATGATTTATTAGTTATTTAATGAAAAGAATTTGTGTTTATCATTTTTTTATTTGTAATTTATTCATTTTAAGTATTATAAAATTTATTGTTTTTATTATTTTTCTATCTTTTTTTATAATTTAAAATTTAAATAAAATTGAAAATTTTGGAAAAAATAAAAATAAAAAAAAAGAAAATCAGCCGGGCCAGCCCGGAACCCGGCCCGGTCGGGCCCGGGCCCGAGCTCGGGCCCGGGGTACCCGGGTCCGGGTCCGGGTCCCGGTTTTGCCCGGCCTGGGCCCGAATTTCCGGGCCAGGCCGGGCCGGGCCGGCCCGGATGGACAGGCCTATCTGAGGTAAAATAGGATTGTCCACGTGTCACCTTCTCTCATAGCAAAAAGAGACATTTGCCTAGACGAGGCTTTAATGACTAACCGCCAAGTTCTCTTTCTATATAAAGGAGGAGGGATATTGTGCTGTATTTAACAACAGATGCTCACACAAGAGAAATGATAGAGGCACACTCTCCACCACACCTCCAACCACACCTCCCCTCCTACTACAGTGCACCGGGGCCCACTTGATATTTAAATTTTAAATCTCAAGTGGGCCCCGATGCACTGTAGCAGGAGGGGAGGTATGGTTAGAGGTGTGGTGGAAAGTGTGCCTCTAGTGCCTCTCCTCACACAAATAGACAAGCTGAAAGGGTCATTATACTTATTATCGTTATCATAACTTTGTACCATATCTCCCATTATGCTATTTATTATTCGTCATGCCTACACGCAATCATGAAAATGTATATGCAACCAATCATTACTGTTCCAGATTTAATGCCAACTACATTCCAATTTTATGTAGCGTGGTACCCAAATGTATGCCTCGCGTCATGATGGGAGTAACCATTTCCAATGCGCAAAAAGAAGGAAGCGACTAGCTAACTAAATCTAATGGATCGTATCTACGTGGGACAAAGCTTACAGAACCCAATCATATTAAAACAATTTGCTGGACTTTTATGGATTTTTAGGATTGGCTACATAATCCTTATTCTTTGGTTCCCTTTTGTTAACGATCATCTCTCATCCATTAAGTTAATCATTAAAATTTCTTCTTTTTTTTTATCGCTTCGAATCAAATTCTATTAGGCCTATAACTTAGTTCTCTTTCTCCCGCTAACTATAATATTATCACGTTTCCTGACTGATTTGCACGCTCAAAAAAAGAACAACACATTAACCGGAAAGGTGATCTGCTCAAGCCGAATTCATTCTTACAGGAATTATACTGAACCCGGTGTGTTTAACTTTCAGTCATCTTTCTATTTTGAGAGAAAAACCAAACACATCAACTTCATGGACAACCCCCCCATCGACAAGCTCACGTGGGCTTTAGGATGATGGTCCATCCAAACTAAACATAGGTCTAGAAAGAACTAAATCACCTAGCTTTGTTTCTTCTGCTGATCACAGTGGTTTTGTATTTTTGTCCAAAGTCTATTGCAGACAAATCCTAATATATCAGGGCCACGCACTGATTTAAACTTGTACTAATAATTCATCTCATGTAATCAAAATCAACGTTTCAAGGCCTTTATAGAGATCAAATAATTTTTTAACCATTTGACACGTTATTAAAAACAGGCCGAAATCATTGGAGATTTTATTTATAGGTAGCCATGTGTGATGTATCACCATCCAACAGCGCAAATTTTCACTTCCGAACTCCAAATTTTAAAGTTGAATCTCAACTCGATATCACACATGAATTATAAAAATAAACCCTGCTAACAACAGCAGAATCCGAAACCAAGTCGGTAGACAAGTGAGCGCTGCATACCTGCACCTGCGAACTGCTGGCAACAATAGAAAGGCGTGATTCCTTTGATAGTCTTTTCCAAGGCAACAGAGAGCGTAAATTGGAGCCATAATTAGGGGGGAGAAAAGCTTTTCACCTGTTGGAAGCAGAAAAGAGCAGCTAACACCAATCAAGACTGGAGTACTTTGAGCACGGCGAGCGCACCGTCCTCGCGCTGTGGCGGGATACAAGGACGCTGTAGGCGCGCAATGCTCTGTGCACTGCACTCGTACCTGTAGCTAGCACTCAATCGAATACTTCAGTACTAAGTGGCCCTGCAATGAATTATATTGACAAGCCCAGTTTCCAGCACTTCCCATGTTGTGCTTTAGATGACAAGCAACTGATTGATCTGTTGTAAGGATGTACTACGCCATATAACACATTCATGGCTGCCAGCAATGCGAGACTACAGACCACGTTAATGCATGTGGTAGGTGCAGAGGCTACATATATAACAGATTTAAAGACTCGAAGATGGAACAAGTTATCGGTAATCTCCGTATCATAAGACTTGATAAATCACTTCCAACGATATTGATTGAGGGGCAACTTTCAAGCCTATAGTACTGCTGAAAGCACAAGGGGGCCAAAAAGGCGTGACTAAAATCCAAGAAATGCTGCGAGCAGGTACAATGCGAAACCTACAGATGAAGCTTCTGCAGGTTTTACCTTGATATCGTGACTGACTCCAATATATGAGATGTATGCATAACTTGCTGCTTATTTCACACTTTTGAATTCCATGACTATAAAAATGAAACTCTAATCCGTAGGAGGTAAACTAAAGTAGATAACAGCCTCCATAAACAGAACTACACATGAAAACTAGGGAGAAAACAGACGACAGTTTTCATACCTACACGCGGAGATAAGACTGCAGCTTGAGAGAATTGTGCAGAAGATATTTAATCAACATTTAAACGACTGCATATAAGTAACATTATAGGTTACCAAAGATGAATAGTACAATCTCAATTAATTGCTTATTGTCGCAAAGTCAGGACAACTTTATTCAGAGGAACCCACAAGAAACAGACTTTGAGGTTAATCATTGTCCTGTAAAAGAAAGAAATGATGCGACAAAGCAAGTGCAAAGAGTGAATTCATTAGGATGTGGCTCTTAGGAGTCATTTGCTTTCCTATTATCATTCACACGTAAATGAACAACTCTCCTGACCATGAAGCATTTTATCATGGGGAATCAAATTTGAAGTCAGTTAAATTTACCGATATCATAGCATCATTTGACTATAAGTGCCTACAATACAAATGGCCTTTCTGAAAATTTAAGCAAGTTATAGTTCAATGCAAATTAAACTATATCCTCCTGTAATTTAATCGCAGTCATAAGATTCAAGGGAAACCAATTATTGGACGGGAAACCACAACATCTCGGACAAAATGTTATCGCATTTGAAAATCTCCCGCATGCACCAAATATTGATGTTACAATATAGAAAAAACACTACCAAAATACTCGGAGAGGCCAAATATTGCACTCTTCACAGAGTTATGTTAGAAGAATATAAAGAAGATGGATCATTATTCCTACAAGAAAAAGGAACCTCACAGCAAATGACCAGAACTCCTTGGGCCTTGTTGAACCAGACACGCATGCATTTTCCACAGAAGAACTAATACATAAAGCATCAATCTTCAAGTTTAAGTGATGGAGAGCCATCAAATGCCAATAAGGAAGCCTCTATATCCATAAATGCTCTCTCCGATACTCTCTCACAATAACCGGCACACTTGTAGGGGGGAGCTGCAATAAAATTGAGAAACAAGCTCAAATTTGGTACTGAGAAGTTTGTCAGCAGTATTTACATAATCAAAAAGTATCGAATAAATAGAGTCAAACTTCATGTATATTTTTCATGCCGTAAAGGTATGTTAAGATACATTTATACAGCAAACCAGCTATATAGTTCATTAAATACAAACCCCCTCAGAAGGAAAATAAATATACAAAGACAAAGTTCATTCTTGTATGATTCTAATAACGGTTGTCTCATCTATTTTTGTGTATAGGAACGTCATCTCATGCAAAGAAAAACAAAGCTAAGAACAAAAAGGACTAGATCACAAAGATTACCATTTCTCTAAACAAATGCAACAAACGGTTTACATTAAATGTTTGAGTAGATGGTACAACAGGCATCTAGACATTAGAATTACAAGTTCTATACACCTTACATGCATATTTGAAGTAATGAGAAATTTTTAGAGAAAAATAAAGTATAGGCAAGACAAACAAGTTCCATAAGAGCCAGCCACAAGGTACAGCGTGGAACAGAAGGCATCTACACATTAGAATTACACGTTCTATACACCTTGCATGCATATAGTAATAAGAAAAAATTAGAGAAAACAAGGAATAAGAAAAATAAACAAGTTCCATGAGAACCATCCACAGTGTATACAAATCTGGGGCAATAACTGGAAAAGAAGAAGAAAATAACTAGGTAAACATTTTGAACAATACTGTGCATGAGAATAAATGCTGAAAACCTCCAAATTGATTTCTCCCAGCAAGATATAAGAGATGTCCAATGTAACAATATACAAATTGCATAAGCAACCTGTTCAAGTAAGAAAATAGCTATGCCTGCAAAGGAGAATACTTTGGGATTGATGCATCACTAATAGGAGTGCATGCACCAAGATAAAGGAAATTCACTATGGAAATTTTGGACCTCACTATGAACCACGTACATAAAGACTTCAAAATATTAAGTGTAGAATCCTAGTGATACTAAGATTCTGCTGCATGGACCTTTTACTAAAGCATATCAGTTCCAAGCTAAACTTAAATCATATTAAAACTTCTAGAAACTCTAAAACCTCACCTTTGTTTGAACACTAGAAACCCAAGTAAACGAATTTCTCGACACTTGATAGACTCTTCTGTAACCTTTATGTACTTAAAAGTTTAACAAATTAATGGGCCTGAAAATTAAAAAAAAATTCAAACTCCTTGTAGTTTGCATCAACTTCCGCTGGATGAAACAAACTTGACAACTGCTTTGATACATGGGTATCAACACTTACAATAGAGCAATTTGAGCTCATACAACCAACAAATAAGCTTTCAAGTTTGAACATGTTTGGTTCATGAAACTAAAGCTATATAGATTGATTTTAAATGCATACCTAAAGTAGTCACTAAACGTTAACAGATAACATAAATTCCATGAAACAGATTCAGAGTTTGAGAAAGTAGTAGAAATTACTCACCATTCCGTAATCTGTAACAATCAATGATACATAGTCAGAAGGTGTCGCATCGTAACTGTAGACAACATTTCAGAATAAGGTCTCCCAAAATGTATCTCATTAAAAAACAGGTAAATTATTTAATAGGCAAAGTAAGAAGTTACATTAAGTTTAGAAGTTGAAGATTCTCATCTTCAGCCCAATTATCCAGATGATTCAACTCTTGCCTTCCAGTGACCTTTGAAATCATATCTGGATCCCCTGTGGAATAAAAATGTAGGTTTCTTAGAAATGTCCACCAAAGCAGTGACTAAGAATGAAGAAAGATGAAGACAAACCCAAAACAAAGATGTTTAGACGTACCAAGTTCATTAGAACATATAGAATCTAGTTGCACCCTCTCATGAAATTTATATGCCTCGCAGCATATCAGAACTGGAATATGGAATGCATGAGCAACCATAGCAACACATGCTGTTCCAACTCTTGAGTAAACTGTTCCGTTTGATAAAACAGAAGAAGCCCCAAGAAAAACTCGTGTAACTTCATGCATAATATAAGAGACAGCATTTATGTGAGTGTAAGTACAGCTAAGCCCCTTTGCAAGCAACCTACGGAGTAATGCTTGTCCTTCAAGCTTTGGGCGTGAGTCAACTACCACAACACGGAACCGTCTTCCAAGATCATGAGCATATAGCAATATCATCTCGACAACAGTGGATGATCCGTAAGTGAGCAGGACATCACCATCTCTGATCTTTGTAACAGCATGCCTCACAATGACTTTATCAGCAAGTATTATTTTTTCATTTATGAACCGATCGATATCTGATTGTAGACTAGATTTTTTTTCTGATTCTGACAAGCTGTCTGGTAATTTAGCAATCCTATTCTTCAAAAACTTAATGGCATTCCCCATACTAATCGAAAGGGGCCTGCATTCGGTAAAAAATGACACATAGCTATTGATTTTTGCGGTCAAATCTCGAATAAGAAGCTTTTCTGGTGGTGTAGAATAATCTTTAATAGCTTCTTTGAATGCAAGAAGCATTGCAATGCAACGAGCATTACCACCAGAAATATCCCCTGATAGATACTGAAGCCCAACCTGATAGTTAATTGAAGTTGTCACATCAGATGAGATAAAAGAAAACTTCATTAAGTCAAGTGACATGCCAATTGTTAAATCAAGCGACACACCAGACGAACTTGAAGCTAAGGTTTATCACACTTCAAGTACAACTTATTATCATTACTCATTTAACTATTGTTTAGTATCATGCATCAAAGATCAGTGCCGACATGAAAAAATGTCTAAATTGATGGAGAAATCAACATTTGCATAATTAAATTGATCTAGCTTCAGTTGACATGTTTATTCTTTGAACATGTGTAAATGTGTGCGAATATACAACACAAATTCGATCTACTATCTTCCACTAGATCATTATTATCTAATATGTAACTACAGTGTTCCACCATGTAGCAAACTGGACACCTCTATTCATTAAAGAGTTGAGAGAATTACTAATTTTAAGAACAAGAAACTTATGTATTTTGCAACATATAGGACTAAATAACTTCAAGCCATCAAAAATTCAGTTTCTTTGTCCATATTTGTAATAAAACGAATGCCCCAGACTCTAAAAAGAAAGCCATTTGGCATTCCATATCTGCATCATCATCATCGAATTCTTTCACTAAATGTGTCACTTGTTGTAAAAAAAAAAGGTTCCGCAAAAAGATCCGACAATATGCCAACCATCAAAATAGTGACTTTCCATAGATCTTATAATGTCGAATGGCAAGCATGAAAATATAGCTCACTGTTTGTGCAACTTATATTTATGCAAATAATGAGCAATTCCAGTTTACTCATAAACGAGAATTTAAAAGAAGAGGAAAGAGGATCGAATTTCATTGTCAGAAAATAAATTGATCATTGAAATATAATATATGTGATATACATATGTTTCAACCATTCCAATGGGGGCAACGACATGATTTGTACTGCATGATGGTATGGCATCATACATATGGTTAACTGGTAATTTTCACAAAACTACCATGAGCTATTAGAAGTTTTGCAGGAAACTACTCTAAATTACTTTGAAGAAAACTACCAGATTTTTTTTTCACTATACTACCATGCTTAACTTTTGTTTGTGTAAGTTATCACGTGATAACTAATACGCATAGACCCTTTCTGGACCATTCTGCCCCAAAGTTGGGTTATATAACTACTCTCTCATCCTCATCCTCACCCCCATTAACACTGTGATGGGGCATTTTAGTCTTTTTAACTGCATTGTTAAAAGTGTTACGGATTTTCTGCTGATTTCCAGGTTCCTAGAAATTTGGTCTAACCAAAAAACTTCAGGGCAGTTTCATGCAAAACCCCAAGTTTGACATACACATGGTAACAGATAAATTGCACAAACTATGGGCAGAACTATCATGAACCATTAGAAGTTTTGCAGGAAACTACCCTAAATTACTTTGTTGGAAGAAAACTACAACAGACTTTTTCACTAAACTACCATGCCTAAAGTTTATTGGTGGAAGTTATCATGTGTTGAGCATGTGCCTTTTTTGGACGCCTTTGCCCCCAATTGAGGTACATAACTACTCTCTCATCCTCACCCCCATTGCTATTTTAGTCATTTTAACTGCATTGTCAACACTGTTAGGGGTTTTCTACTGATGTCAAAGTTTGCAGCAATTTCGTCTACTAAAAATAATTCAGGGCAGTTTCATGCATAACCTCAAATAGTTCATGGTAATTTTGTGAAATTTACCCTTCTTCAGATATCTGTTTGAACTTGACGCATGAAATGCAGAGGGATTGTATCATGGTTAAGACAAAGCAACTGCAACTCATGATTTCATGTTGATGCTTTACAATTATGACGTTTTCAAAACATTGGTATTTGGAGCAAGTTTAGAAAAGAACAGGTCTACATTTACCCAAGGCGCACATGGACATATGGACAAATAAAGGACAAGCATATCTGTTTGTGCCTGTGCTCACTTCTTATTCAAGTCAACAAGCTTCTTTATGTCTTGGCAGAAGCTACAATGGTTTCTACTCAACAATCATAATATAGTTTGAAGCTTCACTATGTTGCAAAAGCTATAGCTTCCTTTCTTTCAGTGTAGCAGGAATACTATTGCCAGGCTGAAAGTAGTATATGAGGTCTTTATCTTCCATGAAACCCATTAACTTATGCCAAAACATGCATGTGTGCATGAACGCATTTGAGAGATCACATTAACATGCATGTGTGCATGAATGCATTTGAGAGATCACATTAGAATTTCTTAATAACAAGAAAACAGTACGGCCTTATACCTTGTACACGGAAGGATGCATTGGTTCAAGCTGAAAAAACTTTGATTCCAGATCTGGAAGCTGTGTTCCATGGACATACTGAGGCAAATGCCTAAATAATTCGACTCTATTTCTGGCTTCAAATTGATTAACTACTGCACGTCGCTTAGCTTTTTCAACCCTATGTTTATCATCATACTGCATACGGGGTGGAGGGGCATCTTTCTTTCTTTCTTTTTCAGGTAAGCGGTCACCAACCTTCTTTTCAGGAGCTGTAGATGGTGCTGTCATCTGTGTTACATCTTTTTTCTGTGGTGGTTGCTTCACAGGCTTACCTTGTTTAGGAACCCCAGAGGAATTCTTTCCTTCTGCACCTATAAATGATACCATTAAAGATAAGCATCATGAGATACCCACTACATGGTATGAACATATGGATAAATTTCTTACATTAGCAGCTCAAAAATGTAAACCAGACCAAAGATGATGCACCATGAACCATTATCCCCACATAATTAAATGCTCCTAAATCAAAAATATGGTGGAAACTTCTACACGCATCGATTGTTACAGATATAAGATTTTCCCAAAACTAGAACAGACAGACAACTTGATCCACGAGTAAGAAGATGCTTTCAAACCATATAGTTTATCGTTGACATATATGTTCAACCATGCAAAATGAACAGTGTGAAACAACTTGCACATGGTTAATCACATGCCATTTAGCAGCAAGTAAATGGATTTCCCCACACCTGCTCATTTCAATTTGTTCATCATTCAATGCAGAAAGCATGCAAATGCAGATGAAGAACCAGAGATGCTAAAATTCAAATAAAATATAAAATAAAATAAATAAAATAGGTAGTTAAAACTCAAAACTACAAGGATACAAGCAAAGGATATTAAGTTTGTGTGGCTCAATTGGTCAGCATGCCAAGGTATTTACTTGAAATTCAGAAGTCAGTTTTAGAGAGTAAGCAAGCATTATATGACATGATCTCCATGTTATAAATGTTCCTAAATAAAAAAATATGGTGGAAACTTCTACACACATCAAGTGTTACAAATACAAGATTTTCCAAAACTATAACAGACAGACCAATTGAAGCATGAGTAAGAAGATGCTTTCAAATCATATAGTTTCTGGTTGACATATATGTTCCAAGTATGCAGAATGAACACTGTGAATCATCTTTCGCATGATTAATCACACGCCATTTAGCAGCAAGTATATAGATTAACCCACACCTCCCTTCATTTCTATTTATACAATGTTCATTGCAGAAAGCATGCAAATGCAGATGAGGAACCAGAGATACTAAACTTCTAATAAAATAAAATAAAATAGGTAGTCAAAACTACAAGGATACATGCAAAGGATACTAAGTTTTTGTGCCTCAATTGGACAGCATGCCGAGTATTTACTTGAAATTTCAGAATGCTGACAGTTTAGAGAGTGCGCAAGCATTATTATAGCAAGGAAAACATAGCAACAACCAAACAAAAATGAACAACAAAAGCAAACTATGCTATACAATTATAAGAACTTATGTGGAGAAGATGATTAATTACCAGCTTCCTTCGCCGCAGCTTTTGCAGCACGTTGTGCCTCCTGAAGGGCACGCCTATCAGCTCTAGTTGTCTTCTGCTTCACTGGTTTTGAACTCCCAATCCCTTCATTCTGTTTCTCAATCAATGCAGCTCCATCTTTTTCTGGAACAGAAGTACTTATTTAAAATTTGAGATTTAGAAACTTACGACAGTGATTGCATGCGACAATAATGTAGGCACATCAGAAATAGTTCTCAGCCTGTAGAGTTTTGCTCTAATAGGAATAACAAAGAGCACTTAGCTCTTCGTTCTTCAATATAAACATTTCAGATATTCTTAACTAAAAACAGCAAGCTAACATACAAATGCCTGATGTACAATACTTTATTTTGAAAGATAAATCCAAAGAAAGGTTCATTAAGCATTAGTGCCTTACTTCAAAGAGTATGCAAGTACAACTATCAACCACGTTGCACCAGATATACTGATAAAAGCAGATGCAGCTCAAAATCTATATTCAAGATAAATTTTCATCAACCACAGAAGGAGCTGTTTTCTGCTGTTTTAACTCACTTTCCAGATTTTTTTCGCAGCTAGCACTCATAGTATAAGATAAAGATCATATCATCCTAAGGTGATCCATTATGTATTGGTCAGTTCACCTTGCTATGGTCAATTCAATGCTGTTTCTGATGGAAGAATTAACATATCTAGTCATAATCCGCGGTAGACCAATACAAGAACCACCACATCACTACGTCGCAAGGGTCCTTCAATGAAACTAACTAATCAAACAACTATCTGAAAATTCTTTGTAACTTGCACTCTGAGTTAAGGGTTGACTGGATCATGAGAAATTGCAACTGTGACTGCAGATGCAACTTGGGAAAGACAGTTGCAGTTGTGGTTACAATTTGCAAAAGGCTGTTGCAATTACAGCTATTTTTTTAACTACTTCACAACTGTGATTGTATAAATGGATCATTTTTTTCTTGCAAAAAAATAGCCCAAGTAATTTCAGCCATTTTTACGAAAAGTCGACTTATTTTTCACTGCAATTCTGAGAAGACTACAATTAGTAAAATAAACAGCTATGTCTGCAACTGATTTTTTGCACATTGCAATTGCAATGACAATTTTTTTGTGAACTAAACAACCTGTTAAACGAGGTGCATGACAAACAAGTTTCTTCACGCGTTTCTTCACGCGCGAGGCATTTATCAGCGATTGAAAATACTTATTTGGCTTACAATGGTGAGGTTCTACATTTCTCAACAAAATATAGTCTAGCTCTTAACTATCTACAGTTGGCTATGATGAGGCATTATCTGTTGGCCTTTCTCTTCCAAATAGTTCAGCCATTATGTCACCTGCCCAACTAAATAAGCAGACAAAAATACACTCAGTGACCCAAAATTAAGGACCTGCCTCACACTAACGAATGAAAGGCTCAGATATTACCAAGTTTCTCTGATCAAGCTCCAGATGTGTCCTTTGTCTCTGTAAAAGACAATCTTTTGTTCATGAGGTGATGGACCTGCTCTGCAATTAATTTCCTTTTCTTTACATGCTATGTTGCTCAGTGTAATTTCTTTGCAGTTGTATTTTCTTGTTTTCTTTCTTTGTGTCCCTTTTATAAGGCTACCATTAGTTTCTCGTTGGCAAATTCTTCTCTATTTTTATGGAGATTTTGGTAGGTTACCCTTCTCCCTCTTATTTAAAACAACATTCTTTGTTATGTGCAGGTTATTCCCCTGAGTTTTTTTTTTTTTCCTAACTCACAAGTTTTTCTCTATTACGTAGATTTATATTCCTATTAAGTTGATCACTTCCTTCTATTATTTAGGTTTGCCATTGTCATGTCTAATGTGAGGGGATACACTCTCCTCCATTTTTTGCGGATGATCTCCATGTCAATAGGATATAACAAGATTTGTGTGTCTGCATAAAAGGCCGCATAAACTTGTGTGGTCCAGTTCTACATTGAACTAACCCAATGCGGAAAAAGCAATCAACTCTTGTAAGCGGGTCAAAGTGGATTACATATCTACATAGTGTCATAGACAATTACGAGCTGCCTTAAATTCAATATGTTAATCATCATATAATGCAACTAATTCAATTCAGCTTAGTATTAAAGCAACATTAAACCTAAATCTTAAATAAAAAATTTGTGGTTGTTGTTGCTCCTTGCTTTATGGAGGCACACACCTCGCCTTGCGCATCGGGCAACTCAAGGTGTTAGCACGTTGCATTTCGCCTTAATAAAAATACGTGTCGCTACCTTTTTGGTCTCCCATTCACTAACCCCTCAACTCCCCCATTTTTGCATTCAATACCCTTAGTCTAAATATGCCCGGATGGTGTATTGAACCTTTTAAGATGTAGTTAACACCTTTTACAGGTTAGTTTTCCCCACTTCCTCTTCTTTAGGTCAGCCTACCTTACAATTTCCAGGGCTATAACCCTCAAAGTGCCTGAATTTACTTACAAGGTTTTCTCAATGTAAGTAGATCCCCCTCCCAATTATTTGGACTTCTTGTTCTTTTGTTCGCTTTTGTCATTTTCATATCTAGTACAAGGGGGATCCACCTTCACTCAAGTTTCCAAGCATGATTTCTTGATACCAACCGAAATCAAAATATCAGCAAAATGTTGATGAAGCCAACACATAATCACCATTACTAAATTAATTCATTTTGAACCACGGGTTATATTCTGCAAGATCTCAATGAAATGCAATCCTAGAGGTAAAAATGAAACATACCAGTAATCCCTGGAACCGATTTCACCACAGCCGCCGTCGTAAGAACACTCTTCGCCACGCCGGCGCGCAGTATTCCCTCCGCCGACCTTCACACGCCAATCATCTCCGCCGCTACTCCCCGGCAAAGAGCTGGCCGCCCGCCCGTGGTGCCCACGCCTCCCTCCCCACCCCGACACGCGACCCGTCCTCCGAGAACTCCGATCCTGATCGAACCTCGAGCTCGCCGCGAGGAGACGCCAACAGAGAAGACTCCGTCATAGGATTGTAGCTCCCGACGGGCATCTGCGAGCTGCTGCCGTCCCTTCGGAGTGGGGTGAGGGCACGGGCACGGCACGGAGTTGTGGCGAGGCGGCGGTATCATGAACCGGAGAGAGGGAGGCGGCGGCGGAGAGGTCGCGCGGAGGAGGGGAGGCGGATGACGTGGCGGGGCCGGAGCTGATCGGGAGGGGAGAAGGGTTTTGTACCGCCGGGGTCAGCGAACCGGACCTAGGCCGAACCATGGGGTTGCTCTGGACGCGGTTAGGGCGGCGGGGATCCATTCAGGGTTTAGGGTTAGGGTTTTGATCTTTTCGGTCGATTGATTGATTGATTGATTTCTAAGGTTTTTAGGGGTCGGGGGTTTTGGGCATTGGACTGCGGACTACGAAGCGAGGAGAGGACAGGGAGGGGAGAGGGTTGAGGAATTTTTCAAAACAGCCCGAAAAAGTTTTTTACTTTTCAAAATCGACCCGTTTTTTTTATTTATTTATCAAAATCGACTCACTTTTTACCACGTTGGCTTAATGACGTTCCTAAGCAGTCGGGGTTGCCAACCCCAACTGTTTAGGACATAAAAATTTCGGGTTTAAGGGTTCTAATTGGGGTTTAACACCCTCCTAAACAGTCAGGGTTGCTAACCCCGACTGTTTAGGAACTTCATTAAGCCCACGTGGCAAAAAGTAGGTCGATTTTGATAAATAAAAAAAGATCGGGTCGATTTTAAAAAATAAAAATCTTTTTAGGGCTGTTTTGAAAATTTATTCAGAGAGGGTTAGTAATTATACGGAAAAACCCTTCATGATACGTTAAATTGCATTAGACGCAACCCTAGAAATCAATCAATCAATCAATCGACCGAAAAGATCAAAACCCGGGGTCACGAACCCGACCTGGCGAACCATGGGGTTGCTCTGGACGCGGTTAGGGCGGCGGGGATCCATTCAGGGTTTAGGGTTAGGGTTTTGATCTTTTCGGTCGATTGATTGATTGATTGATTTCTAAGGTTTTTAGGGGTCGGGGGTTTTGGGCATTGGACTGCGGACTACGAAGCGAGGAGAGGACAGGGAGGGGAGAGGGTTGAGGAATTTTTCAAAACAGCCCGAAAAAGTTTTTTACTTTTCAAAATCGACCCGTTTTTTTTATTTATTTATCAAAATCGACTCACTTTTTACCACGTTGGCTTAATGACGTTCCTAAGCAGTCGGGGTTGCCAACCCCAACTGTTTAGGACATAAAAATTTCGGGTTTAAGGGTTCTAATTGGGGTTTAACACCCTCCTAAAGGCAAAAAGTAGGTCGATTTTGATAAATAAAAAAAGATCGGGTCGATTTTAAAAAATAAAAATCTTTTTGGGGCTGTTTTGAAAATTTGTTCAGAGAGGGTTAGTAATTATACGGAAAAACCTTCATGATACGTTAAATTGCATTAGACGCAACCCTAGAAATCAATCAATCAATCAATCGACCGAAAAGATCAAAACCCGGGGTCACGAACCCGACCTGGCGAACCATGGGGTTGCTCTGGACGCGGTTAGGGCGGCGGGGATCCATTCAGGGTTTAGGGTTAGGGTTTTGATCTTTTCGGTCGATTGATTGATTGATTGATTTCTAAGGTTTTTAGGGGTCGGGGGTTTTGGGCATTGGACTGCGGACTACGAAGCGAGGAGAGGACAGGGAGGGGAGAGGGTTGAGGAATTTTTCAAAACAGCCCGAAAAAGTTTTTTACTTTTCAAAATCGACCCGTTTTTTTATTTATTTATCAAAATCGACTCACTTTTTACCACGTTGGCTTAATGACGTTCCTAAGCAGTCGGGGTTGCCAACCCCGACTGTTTAGGACATAAAATTTTCGGGTTTAAGGGTTCTAATTGGGGTTTAACACCCTCCTAAACAGTCAGGGTTGCTAACCCCGACTGTTTAGGAACTTCATTAAGCCCACGTGGCAAAAAGTAGGTCGATTTTGATAAATAAAAAAAGATCGGGTCGATTTTGAAAAATAAAAATCTTTTTGGGGCTGTTTTGAAAATTTGTTCAGAGAGGGTTAGTAATTATACGGAAAAACCCTTCATGATACGTTAAATTGCATTAGACGCAACGTTAATCTTCTCCTTTTGTCTCGGTCGTCACGATCTAATTATGAATTGCGAGTGCCTCCCACATCTTGACGTTTTAATCACATATGCTCATGTTTTGGGGTGCCAAAAAAAAAATCTCCGCCTATTAAATATCTATGTCTCAAATATGGTTACAAATATCCGATATATAGTGAAATATTAATATTGGTATCATTGGGATTTATATATTGGAGGATGTGGTTACCAATATCTAAATGTATGTTGGTCATACGATCGCGATTGTTTTAATCTTTACATTAATGGATTTGAGGTTAATTTTGATATTTCAAATATAATCAACATGTTAACGAGCTCGTTCGCTTCCATCATGTGAACTATATTTTGCTGTAATATTATCTGGTTTTCTCATGTCCGCTTTGTATCCGCATATATAACCACATGCATACGTAGTTTTAGTGGATATGGATATGAGCTTTCATTATGCAAGCATATCCACATTTGTATTCATAATTGGTAAGCAGATACGAATATCGTAAGCATCATATCGGAGCTGTATTCGAACCATTTGCACCCCTACTCACAGGCCCATTATTCAGAGAAATTATCAGGTCAAAGCTTAACCAAACCTTTGCCTGGATCATAATGTTTCCAAGTTTGCAATAGTTTCATAAGCTAAAAACATGAGGTGTTACAGCTGAGTGTTTCAATATCATGGCTACAACAAATTCATTTTGTTTCCTGTTATCAATTTGCTGGCTACAAAATCAACAGATCAATGTAACCATTGGCAACAGAGCATCAACAGCCAAAGAATATAGACTTTTAAGTGCAGTTTCATCTACAAGTAGTAACATGTGGACAGGCAAACATCCTCCCATGCATTGCACCTCGACATACAAGCTTATGCACCAGAGCATCACTGGCAAAAACACAAGCTTTCCGGTCTGAGTTTCATTTACAAAAAACAGTAAGCATAATCAGCAAACATCATCCTTCAAGTATCAGACTTTGCACACACAAGCTTTCGTCTGAAGGCATTACTACCCTACTTACATCTATTAGCAAAAGGAGTCTGGAAAGAACGTGAAGCCTTTCTCTTAACAGCAACAGCACTTATTTCCTGCCCAGTACAGTCTCTAGCCCGGTGTCCAGATTGTCCACACTTGAAACATGAGCCAGAGCCAGAGCCAGAACCGGCGCCCGAGCCCAAGCCTGAGTGTAGACAGTTTCCTCCACCGTCAGCAGAGTTTGCGGAGAATGACGATATGGTACAATCTCTAGCCCAGTGTCCAGACTTACCGCACTTGAAACACGAGCCTGAGCCTGAGCCTGAACCGGTGCCTGAGGTCGAGGAGTATAGATTGCTTCCTCCATTATCAGCACAGGAGTTGGAGGAGAATGATGATATGGTGCAATCTCTAGCCCAGTGACCTTCTTGCCCACACTTGAAGCAAGAGGAGCCAGTTCTTTCACCAGAAGATTGGCTGCTAGAATAGTTACTGTAGGTGTTCTGAGCCCGTGAAGAGAATGAAGCTTGACGAGATATAAAGCTTGGTTCACTGGACAATTTTGGCAAACTATATGATGAACACCTTACCTGCAATCATCATAGATACATACAGATACAAGAAAAAGTTAATA